TCTCTCTCTTTCTCTCTCTCTCTCTCTCTCTCTCTCTCTCTCTCTCTCTCTCTCTTTGGGGGCTCTTGTGGCCTAGAGGCCATTCAAAAGTCCCGGGTTCGAATCCGGGTAGCGACCGAAAATATTTTTTCTCTAAAATTGTCTCCTTTCACATCCTCTCCCGTTCTCTGGCAATGTTCTGTCGTCTGCTTTAGCCCCCTCTTTCTGCCTCCACCCCCTCACTTCCTTTGCTCCCTCTTCAGGGCTCCTGATTCTTTCTGCAGCCTTTCTACTGCTACTCCTGGGCTCCTCCTTACTGCTGTCTTTCAGCCACACCCCTGATCCTCTGGTAGGAAAGATTTACACCTAGCCTTCTTGGACAAGGGCGAAAAATCTCGGAGGGCCCGTGTGCAAGTTGTGCACGTTAATAAACCTTGGAGGTGTAAAATCGATAAGAGTAGGCTTCGGCCGCCACACGGGCAAAATTCAACATTTCCTACCAACTAAAAACGCTTAATGTGTCCCTCGCGCTCATATGACCTTATGCAGTTGGGAGCGCCGTAAAACACTTTCCAAAAGAGAAAGAATCCTCTTTTTTGTTCACTCTCCCTCACCCCGTCTCTCTATCTATCTTTGAGTCTGCAAATCAGTTTGTCTCTTTCTCTTTCACCCACTCTCCTTCTGTTTTTTTTATCGTTCAGAAGCTTCCCACCCCCTCTCTCTCTATCAGTCTCTCTCTCTCTCTCTCTCTCTCTCTCTCTCTCTTCTCTCTTTCTCTCTCTCTCTCTTCTCTCTTTCTTTTTTCTGTCTTTCTCTCTCATATACTCAATAGCTCACACATTTACCTTACTCCGGAATCCTATTACTTACCCACTCACTTCTGTCCCACCTCGATCATTCCGTTCCAGGTGAAGATCGTTGGTTATGTACACTACTGCTACAGCAAGGATACAGGGTAGAGTACTGTGCCGCTGCAGATGCCTTGACCTACTGCCCAGAAGGTATTTCTAATAATACTGACGACAACAAATCTTTTTGGCGTTTTTGTTTGTAAAGCCTCTTAAGCTGAAGAATGAGCTTTTACTATGAAACATGTTAATTCACTGACATGAATCATTAAACATATCGACTTTCTTTTTTTTCCAATAGTAGACACCAGAAGATAATGGTTCATATTTGTCCCAAAATAAAAGCTTGGAAACTATTCCAAATTCAGTATACTCAAAGCGCCCGAATCTTTTGAACTGACAAGCATAGGTTTCCTTTTTGATCGATAAATGTACAATTTTGAATTTTATTATTGTCACTGGTCAGGTTGAATTAAATTTGTTTTGGAGGAGGTTGTTTATAAACCCACAGTGAGTAAATAGCGAGACACACGTGTATGGACGAAATATGGCTCCAGAGCTTGAGTGGGTGTGCAATTATGCAATGACATATGTGTGTTTGTGTGTGTATGTGTGTTTGTATGTGTGTGTACACGTGTGTGTGTGTTTGTGTGTAAGTGTGTGTGTGTCTGTGAGCGCATGAAAAAAGGAGAACGAAAATTTAAAAAAGGATAAAAAGAGAGACCGAGACCAAGAGAAAGAAGCTCAGTGTTAAGCTCAAAGTGCTTTTTTCTCTTCGAATATTCCAGGTTCCGTGGGTTGTTTTGCTTCGAATATCCAAGGTTTCCATGAACTGGGTTTTTTTGTGTGTGAATGTATTCAGAATATTACAGGTTTCTGCTAGTTCTTTCTCTTCGAACATTCAAGGTTTCCATAAGTTATTTTTCTTCGAATATTCCAGGCTTTCGTAAGTTGTTTTGCTTCGAACATTCCAGGTTTCCGTGAGTTCCCCCCCCCCCTCCTCCGAATATTCCAGGGTTCCATGAGTTGTTTTACTTCGAATATTCCTGGATTCCGTGAGTTGTTTTACTTCGAATATTCCTGGATTCCATGAGTTGTTTTACTTCGAATATTCCAGGTTTCCGTGAATTCTACAACCAGAGACGTCGCTGGTCCCCCTCCACTATGGCCAACATTATGGACATCCTGATGTCTTGGCAACTCCTTATCAAGAAAAACGAGAACTTCTCCGCTCTCTACGTCGGCTATCAGCTTCTGCTCTTTGTCTCCTCCCTCCTCACGCCAGCTACTGTCTTCCTCCTCATCGTCGGGGCTTTCAACACGGCTTTCAAGGTACCATCTTTTTTCTTATTTAATGTTTAAAATATGGGTTTTTTTTGCTCGCAGCACCTGCAACACAAGTAGGTCATACCAGTAATGAGGATTAGAGGTGTTACAAGAGAGAAAACCCACATAGAGAAAGAGGAGGGACAAGGAGAATGTTTGACCGGAAAGAGGAAGAAAACCACATTGATCTAGACATCTTCGAATATATGTGTCATGATGGGGTGGAATCAGGCCCTCGTCAATTTTTGGGCATGTGGAGTTATTGGTATCATTTTAAAGCGTGTTCCGTTACTTTGCTGTCGGGGAAAAATATATCTTGAATAGAAATCAAGATATTTTAGACTGAAGAAGGTGGAGTCGCCTGGTTTCAAAGGTAGAATTAGCTAGAAAATGGCCGCCAAAGTTTGGTTCTTTCCATAGCTTGAGAGTCCGCGGAAACTGAAAACTTACATTTTTTGTGTCTTTTATAAACATTTTTCAGTGAAAATCCACCCAGAAATGTGTTCTTAACCGGACAACAATAGTGTTAAGCTAAGAAACAAAAATTCGATAAAAATTGCCAAATTTGCAGGAAAAATACCAGTTTCTTCAATTTCATTATTGTGACGAGCGTCTGATTTCACCACACAGCCTCACATATTGCCTTTTGAGTGTGAATACTCGTGTAATGTAATGTAAAGCAGTATAATGTAATGTAATATTTTTTAGGCGCGTGCATATTTCATATTTTCTAGACCTTACGCTAATTAGTTTGAGTTTGAATAAAGAGAAGCACACAGACTCAATAATAGCAATAACAGCCACACAATCCAGGGAATAAGCAAGACAGACGGACAGAAAAAACAAACGTAAAGAAAACAAATAGGACGTCAGAGTGGCGTCCTCCAACCACCTGCATAAACCAATTCATCCATTAAAAAAACGTAAACATTGGTTATTTTTGCACCAAATAATATGGTCGTTTCAGTGAAACGTTTTTGTACCCTGCCTCCTAAATGAACTGCATTGGATACGTAAAATCACCTGCACCATTAATCTCTTCACAGCAAATCGACCTGGTAGAGGCTCTTTTCATCAACTTGTCTCCAGTATTGATTTTCCTGATTGTGTGTCTCACTATGAAGTCCAAATTCCAGGTAAGCAAGAGATGTAGACCTTATTATCCCATGTGTATACAACTTGCATGTGCTCACTCACTCACTCACTCACTCACTCACTCACTCACTCACTCACTCACTCACTCACTCACTCACTCACTCACTCACTCACTCACTCACTCACTCATT